TCTTTGGAGTTGTGGCCCATATAACCAGAAAAGTTTGGTCCTCAGGAGTTGGAGTTGTCCTAAATTGCCAAGATGGACAGATTCTGGATCATACGCATCTGCCCACGCCAGGGACACTATCTGGGGCGCTGAGATGTTAGCAACCGGTTTCCTCTGATCATCATCAAGAAGGCTGTATGCCACGCCTAACTTCTTGAGATTCGGCGCGACAATTGTGAGCTCCTGCAAGCTCCTACCAAGGTGGAACAGCTTTATTTTTAGTAGAGACTTGGAGTGGATCGAGAGACTGTCCAGCCCGTGGGATTCGAAGACGCTGAGCTTCTGCAAGCACGGGCACCGTGCCTCGGAGACAGCGTCACCGAGGTTGCACGGGCCGTGGAATCGGACGCGGCTCAGGGAGAGGTTGGTGAGCTTGTCGAAGACGCCCTGGGGAGGGAAGGTGAGGCCATGATACCGTAGCTTTAGCTGAATCTTGGTGGCTTTCTCGAAGCAGGGCAGCTCAACGAGGCCTCTATCCCCGGCCTCCTCCACCTCTTCCTCCTCCTCGTCCTCGTCGTCGTCAGCGGTGCTCCTCGGAAACACGTTGCGGTAGAAAAGGTCACCGACCAGGCGGCGCGCGGCGGTGGGAAGCCAGGCCGCCACGGAATCAGGGGCGGCTTCTTTTGTGTTGACGGAGATGCGGCGGAGCACCGGGGCGTCGTCAGGGGCGTCGAGCACGTCGCGGATGCGGTTGCCGTCAGGGGCGAGGTTGAAGCGTACCTCGGGGAGGTTGCGCCAGAGCCTTTTCCAGCGGCAGGCGAGCACGCTGGTCCGCGCGGCCTCGGTGGTGTCGAGGAGCACGAGGATGCGGAGGAGGAGGTCGTCGTGGAGCGCGCTGAGGCGGTCCTCGCCGCCGTCTGGGGGCTTCGCACGCTTAGCGGCGATCTGGCCGCCGCTTAGCTCCATGGAAATGGCGGAGGGTTTCGATTCAGCCTCGGCGGCGATCTGGACTGGACTCTGGAGTACTGCACGCCGCTCGGATTTGGGAAAGGATTACGGATTTGGGGGAGATGTGTTTTGCGCTCACGTGAAAAGAACGGCAGAATACACACGAAGTACGTACCTGTTTGTAAATTTTCCTTCTCTCGGGTCCTTTGTTACGTATTATGATTTACTCATCTCTAAAAAAATGAAATTCTCATTTTCTATGAGCCAAATAATTTTAATTTTTACCAGATGAATAAAACAATACTAACACCAATGATACCGAATAAACATTACTAGATTAATCATATAATATATTTTTATATTATATCTATTTGGAGACATCAATATTCATACTATTTTATATAAACTTGGTCAGACTTAAGAAATGACGTGTTCTAAACTTAGAATCAAATTATTTTTATGATTTGCTCCATATTTTTGAAAAGAATACAATTCTTACTTTTTATGAGCTAAATAATTTTTAAGTTTTAACCAAATATATAAAAAAAAATACTACTATGATATCATATAAATACTATTAGATTGTACAGAATGCATTTTCACAATAAATCTATTTGGAGACCTAGATGCTGATAATATTTTATGAGAAAATTTTATATAAACTTGGTCAAACGTATAGACGCAGGGAGTATGATACATAACACTAGCCACTGTGGTTCTTGATTGGATATGCTAATTTTCTGTAATAAGTTTAAAATGCTATGTTTGGTTTTGAAATCCTTTCACAAGTGCGACGCATGAGACAAATATATGGTTGTTTTTTCTAAAGTGGACCAAAAGCTATTCTTGTGCCCATGAATAACTAAATGGGAAAATATTCAATGCACACCACATCTTTTGCTGAATCGTGAAAACTCATAAAAACAAAACCTAGGAGTTTTAGGAAAGAAACTATGCAAATTCATAGTGTATCTATAGATGTACATTGCCACAAAAGTTTACATTCCAAATCATTTTGTAAAATTCGTATGGAAGTAACACATTTAAGGTGCATATGCACTAGAAGACAAAGTTTTGGGAATTTGTCTTCTAAAGCATATGCACCTAAAAATGTTTTATTTTCGTATGGACTTTTATAGATTGAGTTTGAATGATAAACTTGGTCACAATGTGTATCTATAGAGTAACTATGGATGTGCATCGTTTCAATTTTTTGAAAACTTTTAAGTATGTTTTTCTAAATGGTTTTCACGATTTCACCAAAGACAGTTTGTGGTGAATTGGCTCAATAGCTGTGAACAATTCTTCTGGGCCAACGCACTTTGGCCTTAGATCGCGTCTGGCTCGCGTCGTACCACCTCAGCAGCGCCGCCTGCACCTAGTACTACGTGCCAGAGCAGGATGTCGGCATGCCGACCTGGGAACGCTTCAAGGAACTCTGCCACCTGCGTTTCGGCCCGCCTGTGCGGGTGAATAGGCTGGCAGAGCTGGCCCAGCTCCCACTCCTCTCCTCGGTCCAAGAGTACACTGAGCACTTCAATGCGCTCCTGTGTCACACATGGAACCTGATGCCGGCATAGAAGGCCGAGCTCTTCGCCGGTGGCCTCCCCGAGCATATCCGGATCAACGTCGAACTCCGGGAGCTGCACGACCTTCAAACGGCTATGTACCTTGCCCGGGCATAGGCCAAATTCGGATCACAACTTTTTAGGGGTTAGTAGAAAAGAATTAATGAATCCATGAACCCAGGTTTTAAAATCCAAAGGGTGACTTGGAGCCAGATATGTCTTGGATGAAAATTGGAGATGCCAGGGGTAAATGGTTTGGATGTTTTTAAGCAGTAATTGTTCTTTCCTAGCTAACTGACAAGCTTTTATTTCCTATGTAAGATCCTGACAACATGCTTCTGTATGTTCTGGATCCTTGCTAGCTCAGAAAATTTAGACTGCCTGCTCATTTTCAGTGTGCTAGAACGGTAATACTGACGTTATGGTTGGGTGTATTGGTTACATAGGCTTGCAGTTGGTTAGTAGTTTGGGCCAGCTATTCAATTATTGTAACGAGCATTTCAAAACAAAAAAGTGCAAAGAGCAGTGGAAGGGCTATGTATCCTTTGTACAGTATAAACACTCAGAAATGTTCAGATCGTTCCTTCCATTAAATGCTTGCCATTTATGACCCAAGGATTTTCAGTGGTAGCAGAATTTCTTTTTGCATGTCCTGGTGCAGGACTTTTTCAGTAGTGGAATGCTAACTAAATGAAAATGAAAGTAAAAGGACTTTTCAACAGAAATACTATATTCTGGATCACGGGAATGTTATCTCTAACAAACTGAGAGTTAGTTTGAGAGGTTGGAGTGCAAATTGGGGAAGTGATCAGAGGGATCGGAAGCAGGAGTTGACGCTGTGGACCAATTGGACTGGGATGCTGTCTGCGCTCAGCACCATACATAGTGATTGGTATGGAGGCCATCAATTCGAACTGGTTTTTGTTTGACAGGGTTCACTTTTGGGATGTGTTTTTAGAAAAGTACAAAGCTAAAAATATGGCCATCGCTGTTAGCACAGAGGAAACAATAGAGTTATACTAACTTTCTCATGCAGAATCTGTTCATTGCAAAATGCATCAAAATTTATAATAATTCTCTTGAAATTAGTTTGGATCTCATATATTGGCGGGACATGTTGGAAAGAGTGATAATTGAATGGGCTCAGTAGTGTTGCATTGCAGCCTTGCAAATACTTGAGCAAAGCAAAACAGGTTAGAACCCTTTGTGGCAATTGTTAGATATATCATGTATCACAATGTATGCTGCATTCGAGAAAAGAATCAAAATGAGATATGTCTTACTCAAGTAGATCAATTGTTCCAATGTTAGAGGGAATCTGTACTGTCCTAAATATAGATCCATATGTTATATGCCTGAAGTACTTTCACTTATTTTCAAACAATACTGAAGTACTTTTATGGGGCGACTTATTTTTTTTTTAAATGGAAACTCGGCCTGCGGGGGTAAGACAGCCTGCGGGAATTTGGCTAAGAAGAAGATCTTCTCACACAATGGGCATCTCAAGAGCTCTTCTCTATTTAATAAAAAATATAGCAACAAATCGATTGATAAATTACAACATTCTAGGAAAGAGATAACAAATACCAACACAATGCAAAGTGACTAAACCTTGATGGATATTTGTCCCACCTCCAAACAAATGTATTCTTTGGTGCTATTAGACCTACTGATGAAACCTTTGAAAAGGGTCGGTCATTGACAGATCATGTACTTGTTCAGCATGCAGTACGTCAAGTGAACCAATCAATATTTTAGGAGATACTACAAAAATGAACTTTACACCCCTTGAAGCCCTCTTTTTGACATTGAGCAGCCTACGTTGTCTTGCAATCCAATCTTTGCTAATGTTTACGATCTACTGCCTGGAGCCTCATAGACTCCAACACTCGCGCATTTGATACAAAGAATTTGGCAAAGTCAATATGTGACTTTCTGCCTTGATAGTTTGCCAGCACAATTTTCCTCAGACGGATATCCATGGTGCCAATAAGTTTCTGGTATTTATGATACCACGCATTTTCCACCCAACCACTTGTTGCCTGAAAAAAGTGAAGTGAAGATAAAAACGGTGTCGATCTATGGCCAACCTTGCTTTAGAGCAATCATTGATATAATAGTAAGAGACAAAAAAATGCAGATGCACACTCTTTCTCAGGGAATCACCTTGATGTACAACTTCTCCAAGCAGGGAAAGCACTTCAGTAAGTCAATAATCGCATCCAAGGAAAGTTTGACATCAGACAAAGCTAGAACCTTCACACTGTGTACCACAGTTGTCATGCAAACAGCGATCGATCCCTGAGTTAAGCATAGAATTAACACACTATGATCAAGTAAAGGGTCCCCGATGAAGTAAAAATGATGCATGTACCTGGAAAACCGTGGCGCTAAACTCGAGTTTGGGAAGGTTGTCAAAGAGTTTTCCTAAAATATCCATTCTAGGTGCAGAGATTACGGAGATGTACATATCCCTCCCTTCAAAAAATAGCAATCTTTGCAGGCATGGTGCGTCCACAACAAGGAGATGTTCTGGCTTGATACCTTTCCACCTAGAACGCACACCGATGCTTCTAAGGCTATGCATGGGACTCTATTTGCAGTCGAGGGAAGCCTTGTCAAGTAAGCAAGCTCTGCAAGAGAGAACAGCCGGTGAGCAAGGCATGCAGAGAACTCTCAGAGATGCCAACATTCAAAAGGGTCAGCTGCTCGAGAAGCGGCAGGTGGAGCGCTTTGGCATTGGTTCCATCCGGGAAGTCAAAGGCGCTGAAGCTAGCGATGCGAAGGGTGGACGAGAAGCGGTGCACTGATGTTGGCACTGGCAGCATCCGCAACTGAATCGACCAGTGCTCAGCCCTGTAGTTGGTGTTCAAGTCGAGCTCCTCGAGTTTCTCCAGGGCGGGGGACCAGAGCCAGCCGTCCAGGGTAGAAGTAGCAGTAGACCTCCGGATGGAGAAATGGCGTGTGGGGCCGGGTGTGCGGAGAGCACGCGTGGGATGTAGAGATCTAAAATTAGAGAAGGGGATCCAAACAGGCCCTAAAAAACTATATATGGTTTATTTGAATTTTTACCAGATTGCACTAAAAGGAGCTAGCACTACCGGACTCCCGGCCTTTGCCGAGAGCCCGAAGCTCTCGGCAAAGACGAGTTGACGCTCGGCAAACTATTTGCCGAGAGCAGCTCTCGGCAAAGAGCCATCGGCAAAACATCTACCGGCAAAGTATTCTTTGCCGAGAGCCCCTCTCGGCAAAATATTTACCGAGAGTAATGTCAAGGCTCTCGGTAAACAATAGCTCTCGGCAAACTGGCGCGCCCCAGTAACGACCAAACAACCGCTAACGGTGTGACAGCTTCTTTGCCGAGAGCGACTGTCGGCAAAGAACTTCTTTGCCGAGAGCGACCGTCGGCAAAGAATTGTTAAAAAAAAGATTTGCGGCCGAGGTGGTTTTCAAAAAAAAAATAGGTTTGCCGAGAGCCGACCACCAAGCTCTCGGCAAAGAGGCCTCTTTGCCGAGAGCTAGCCTCTCGGCAAAGAGTCATATTTGCCGAGAGCTAGGCTCTCGGCAAAGAGGCAGACTTGCCGAGAGCTAGGCCTCCTGGTCATCCTCCCGCTCCTCCTGCTCGTCCAGCTGCTCGGCCTCCTGCTCGGCCTGCAGCTCGTCCTCTCCCTGCTGAGCCTGCTCGTCCACCTGCTCTTCCTCCCGCTCCTCCCCGGGCTCTGGTGCTGCTGCTGCTGCAGGCTGAGGCGGTGGCGCCCTAGGCCTCCTCCCGGCCGCCCTCCTCCTCCTCCCCTGAGGTGGTGCCGACCCCCCAGCTTCACCTGAGGGCCCTGGTGTATTGCCCCCCGTGTCGTAAAGCGACCTGACCGCTGTCGACGAAATATGGTCGGCAGTCTACCTAGGGGTATACCCAAGGTAGTAGATTGTCGGCAGACAGATGCGCAAGCCACAAACAAGACGGTGACGCAAGACAGACACAAGGTTTTATCCAGGTTCGGCCGCCAAGAAGGCGTAATACCTACGTCCTGCGTCTGATTTGTATTGTTGTATGTCAATGAGAGATGTTTTTTAGAGGGGTCCCCTGCTCGCCTTATATAGTTCGGGGGGCAGGGTTACAGATCTGGAAACTAATCCTAGCCAGTTACAATTGCCATATGTGGCCGGATAAGGATTCCTATTCTAACCGACCAGGATCTTGATTGATCGCCAAATCCGCCTTGACTCCTTGCGCGGGACTCCGATCAGGTTAACCGGGCCACACGTCGTCTTTTGGTGGACCGGACCCACCGATCCGGGCCGGCCCAAGTTTAGCCATAAGGGTATAGGGGTTAATACCCCCACAGCTAGTCCTCGAGCACCATGTATTATGCTGCGACACGCCATTTTAACCTTCTCTGACAAGTAAGGCTTGAGTCCTTGACGTCTCTGACCACCGTTGTCACCGGAGAAGTCGGTTGTCCGAAGAATATATGGTGCTCTTAAGAAAAAAGAAAAAGATTTTCATCCTGGGAAGTGTGCCCACTTGTATTTCTAAACAGAAATGTAAGTGCGTCTCGGAGCATAGCGTCCTTGATCATCAGAGGCGTAGGGGTCGAAAAACAAACACATTTACCGCAAGGTGAAGTGTGCCCACTTAGTCCCCGAGCCTGGTAGTAGGTGACGTAGGCACGTGGTGCCAGGGTCTAAAAAGAATTCCCAGTTAAGTTGAGAAACGAATCGTCGTACAAGCGATACAAGATGCACCGGTAGGTGCATCGTACCGATGTAGTCCCCGAGCTTGCTGGAAGGCGAGGTATGAGCCTTATAGCAATGTCTAAATAAATGTCTCTCAACTGTATGTGAGTACAAATCACATGTAGCCGAGAAGAACGATCTTCGAGCAGTGGTCGGGACAGTCCCCGAGCACATCAGTAGCCGAAGCAGTCCCCAAGCGTGGCAGTGGTCTGAGCAGTGCCCGAGCACGGCAGTGGTCTGGTCCATCATTGAGCTCAAGATATGCAGCCAAAAGAAAAGAACGCCGCTTGTATTATTATTTGGTGTATTTATTTATCTCCTTACTCTGTCAAGTCCAATCTACCACGTCTGGTCAAAAAAGCAGACGGATATAACATATCACTCTGCCTTCTTACTCTTTCTGGCAAACAGTCGCTTGGCGCCTGTATGGAGGTGCGTCAGTGTGGGCCCTCTCACATTATCAACGAAGAGGCACGTACACTGGAAACGAAGAGGCGTGTTTGTTGGCGTAGATCTCGAGGTTGTGAAAACATCCGTCTGCGGCGCGTGCGCACGTCTCCCAAGAATCTCGGGCGGACGAAACGACGAAGCCCTTGGTTATTTATAATATAGAGCTGGTAAGTTACTTTTTACCGATCCCCATTGTCATTCACCGCCGCAACCTTCTTCTTCCTCTCGCTGAACCCTACTCCGAAAATCACCACCAATCCCTCCTCCACCGCATCCACCCTCTTAACAAGGGCAGATCAATGGCGAAGAGAAATGCCCAGAAGAAAGGCGGAGTCATGGCGAAGGAGTGGTGGAAGTCAAGGAGCAATGAGCAGACCATCGAAGACCTCGTCGCCATGGGAGTGCTCCATAACAAGGCACTCGCGGGATGGCGTGCACCGGAAGGAGAAAGCTTCCCTGATCCACAACCAGGTGAGATTGTGGTTTTCGAGGATTTCTTCAAGCGGGGTTTTGGGGTTCCAGTGCACCCTTTCCTTTAGGGGCTCTGCTTATATTACGAGATTGGGATTTGCAATCTGCATCCCAACTCGATTCTTCTTGTCTCCACCTTCATCCATCTTTGCGAAGCTTATGGTGGCTTCTAGCCCCATTTCGACCTCTTTCGCCATCTGTTCTGTCTGCGGAAGAAAGGGAGCGGAGGCTCAAAGATAGCCGGAGGCGTATACCTCAATCTGCGTGATGGTATGAAGGCCCAGTACCTGCACTACCCATGGAACACCTCACTGGACGAATGGTACAAGAAATGGTTCTACATCCGCGAAGAGCCGAACACGATCACCCTATGTGACGTGGGGTTGATTCCGGAGAAGAAGAACAGCTGGTCAGAGAAGCCCAAGCACTTGGAGCAGGTCACAGAACTGCTCGGGTTGATCCCGTGGGGAAAGCTAGATGGTCCAAGCATGGTCGGGAACTTCATCAGCCAAAGGATCCAGCCCTACCAAAAGAGGGTACATCCTGGCTTCGAGTACCAGGGTAGCGTAGATTCAACGAGGACCAGAAAAGAGGCGCTCGACAAGATAGAAATCAAGGCCAGAATTGGGGAGCTATTCAATCTAGCCGACCCCAATTATGTCAGGTTAAACGACATCGAGCACGCCTTCAAGCTGGCCCAACCTCCCCCAAAGGTAAATGATGCCTCCTTGTACCTGTAGATTTATGTTGCAACAAAAAATTGACTGTTGTCTCCTTCATGTTTCCCAGAGTAATGGTCATGACCGAGCAGCAGTGTTCGTGTCTCCGCCCCCCTGGCGTGGATTGGCCGCAAATTGCCAGCTCAACCGCCCAGACCAGTGCCAGTATCGAAGACGTCGACTGGGCGGTACTCGGAGTTGGGGAGGATGTAATGGCCAAGGCTGCTAGCAAGCGGTCAGATGCCAACAAACGTCGCCAGGCCATCTTCCCCCTTTCAGACGATGAAATAGAGGATGCGGACATCTTCCGACTCATCCCTCAAAAGAGGAGGAGACAAATGGGGTCAACAGAGCAGGGTAGCTCCTCTGTGCCAGCAGTGATCGCACCACTGACCACTGCAACACAGAAGACAAGCGGGGGAAGTGTCGAGCACCAAACCCCGACGTCAGTACCGGTGGTGGAAAAAGACCCGGTGGAACCCACCGAGCACGTGGAGCAGGCGCGGTCGAAGAGACATTCCTTCGCCACGTTATTCCGTGCTTCCGAGCTGTAAGTATCTGTAACTTTGATATAATCTTATAATTTGTATTGAATACTATTGTCTTCTGAACTTTCTCTGGTATATTAGGTCGGCGTCCACCGAAAATCCTGACCAGATAGCCGGTTGTGTGGCATCGGCCGCCAAGATCGGCGGAAAGAATCGCTTTCGGCAGCCTAATCGTGGAGGAACTCAGAGAAGAAATTCTGCGGAACCATGACACGAAAGCAGCCCGACGTCAGTCCCCGAGCAGCTGGTCGAGAAGACAGCCGAGCAAAGTACAAATGCTCCAAGCACTAGCCCTGCTGAGGCGGATACCTTGGCGCCAAGGGAACCAGACCGAGCCGAGGAGCAGCAACCGGAGTTGGCATAGAATACGCTTGCCGATGCTACGGCTCGTGGGAAAGCCATAGTGGTCGCGGAGACTACTATCTCCGGCCCAGCGCCGCCCCCTGAACAAGAGGCCGAAGAGGACGAAATCAAAGAGATCCTAGGCCGTCCCAAAGACAAACGACAACATGTATATGTGTCGCGTAGGCGGAACGACGAGTGGGTTATGTATGAAGAAATCCCTAAGATCGAAGAGACCCAAAAAGTTGAACGAGCGGCAAAACGTTTGGTGACAGAAATCCAGGTATGTTTGGCTTGACCACTTGACCCTGTAATGTAGTCAAACTGCCTGACTTAGCTTGCTTATATGCAGGACTTGACGAAGACCGCAGTACACGAAAGAGGTGCTTCACCACGATTGAGGGAATCACGGCGAGCAATAGAGAACTGGCGGCCGAGGTGGAATGCTTGCGCCGCCAACTTGAAGCCGCCGACCAGAGAGAGACAGAGCAAGAAGCACGTAACTGTAACCTGGTCGGCCACTCAATGACAGAGAGCGCGCAAAAA